ATATCTGCGGATGTACAATGCTAGAAACCGGGTTTCAATACCTGTGGTGGGCAGAGCACAGATAACCCATTGTGCAGCTTTGTGCTTAATTACAAACAAACTATTTATAAATTTGTATTTTTTTTTATCTAGATTAATTCTCATCATGTATAATCAAGACTGTGCCAGATATGCTTACCATTTGTAGTCGTTTTAACACTAAGTGTGAAACCAGCAGTTCATACCTCTGATATTAGATGATGTATTTGTTTTATTTTCGTAATTACGTGAATTTTAGATAATAACATGGCCCGTATCATATTGGATGTATTCTACTTGTTTTTTGACAGTTTACAACTGTAAATTATAATGTGTATCTTAGTCATACCTCGTGTTTGTAATAGTATGATAAAACTTACACTTCAGTGATTCCACCGCATAACGTGAAAAGTGGTAAACTGAATGATTGATTAGGTTTCATATTTTAATACCCCCACCCCCAAAAAATGGCCATTCTTGTTTTTAGTATCTGAAACAGTGTATCTACTGAGTAACCCATCAAACGATCAGTGCTATATTTTTCTTAAAAACGTATTTGAATATAGTTTGATTGTGGTGAATAGAAGACAACCAAGATGCTATACAAGTAATGTGCGATAATTTACTGCCCAAAGCTTCTAATTTTTAATGTTCTGTTTTAATCAGTTAAATTATATGGCAATTCTATCGGTTTAAATATGCTAAAAGAGTATTTTTGGAATTATATGACAATTCTATTGGTTTAAATATGATCTTGTTATTTTGATTACTTCTAAGTGGTTGTAACCACAGTAGGTATTTTGAACCGAAACACTCTTGTTATTTAGATTACTTCTAAGTGGTTGTAATTTGGAGTAGGTTTATTTATATTGGAGTAGGCCACTAGGTTTATATATTTTACACACCTTAACAGAAAATATTGTAGGAAAAGACTAAAGTTATATCCTTTTTTTATAGATTTCACAGCAGCTTTCGATACGATGGCTGAGATGAGATTATTTCAAAAATAGAGAAATTACGAATATTTATAAAAATGTTAGGTACGGTAAAAGATGTACAGATAAGCGATAAGTAGGTTTAAAGGAAAGGAGTATTTGGAAGGTGAAAGGAATTAGACAAAGGATTCCCGTTAAGTCCTAAGTTCATCCCATTGTATTAAATAACATAGATGGTGGCGAATTATGCAGAAGAAATGAAGAGCATGCTTAGGATATTTGAAAAAAATATATGAATAGCAAAAAAAAACTAACTTTAAATTCAGGTAAATCAAATTTGGTGTGTGTGTGCGTGTTAGGAACATTGGTTTAAAACATGAAGACTGTAACGGAAGATTTTAAATATTGAGACGAACGCACAACGAGCAGTAGATTCAACATGGATTGCTTAAAGAATCGGGATGTAGATAGACGTTTGCACTTGTTCGAAAGCCTGGCTAATTCTATAATTAAGTGTTGGACAGAAATTTGTGAAGAAGAAAATATACAACCACAATATATAAAGTGGATATTGGGATTAGATAGAACCACTTTATTATATATCGTCCCATCTAACCAGACTACCACCCCTTGTGCGCTTATATGTTGCAGTCCAGAAAACGATACTTGACTTTCAGATAATCTTTGTCCCCGTAGAAGTTACAGATTTAGCCAATCATTAGAGTGCTATTGTTTCTGTCATTTTTTTTTTATATCCACCGGGAAAACTATTTTTAGACTTAAGTTGTTTCTGCTGTTACTTTGTTTTAATTATTTTAATGGCTCAGAGGCAAGTCTGAAGACTTATGACCGGTTTTTGAAACCCGTGGTGGGCACAGTACAGATGGCCCATTGTGTTGCTTTGCTGTTAACAACAAACAAAGTTTACATGGTTTGTTAGTTGCGGTCACTATTTAGTCATTGTTTTTGACTTGACATTTTTGTGCTTGAGTGTACTTTGACTCTGTTAACGCTACAGAGGGTTGAGCACGTTATATCAAAACTATTTACAATATGCTAAACAGTAAGTCGGGTGACAACCACAGCTGGTATAAAGTCGCGGTAGAACGGTACATATCAAACTGCATTATGACATTGCTTAGCGTGCCATAGACTCGCTTTAACGGCGTGTATCAGAACTACATTATGACATTGTTTAGCGTGCCATAGACTCGCGTTAACGGCGTGTATCAGAACTACATTATGACATTGTTTGCCATAGAGTCGCGTTAACGGCGTGTATCAAAAGTACATTATGACTGTTGATGTAGGTAATGTTATGTAACATAAAATTGGTCAACTTTGGACACTGTCTTTTCCCAAGTCAAATATTCATACTTAGATAATAAAAAAATTTCTTCAGATCCGGGATTTAGAATTTTAAAGTCGAAGATATTCATTCTTTTTAATGAAATTGGGAAACTATAATATAGAACAGCTTGAGACACAACAATCACTCAGAAAGGGACCGTAAGCAAAGTGCGGTGTTTTGGAACAGGTGAGAATTAAGAGTTGAAACTTCAATGTCAGAAGCTGACCACGTGCTCCAGGCAACTGTTAAAATAATCAAGAAGGATTTATTTTTGAAAAAGTGACAGAGTAGCCTCAAGAGATATCCTTTAAATGTCGCACACTTCATGCAGTTGGAAAATGGAAGAGGTATTCATGTTCTTTCTCTCCTTATGAAGACACATCGATCAAGTCGCTGCAGCGTCCATGGATATTTATGTGATCGGACTATTAAACAAAATGGGCGCTAGGAATGGTAAAACGTTGCAGGACTATTGTCACGATCCACAGTCGTCAGATAGAGCATGACTAGACAGTGGCAGCATGGACTGTAACGACGTGGTGAACCTCCAAAATGATCTTAATACAACGTATTCAACCACAGTAGGTATTTTGAACCGAAACACATCTTCCAAAATGATCTTAATACAACGTACTCAACCACAGTAGGTATTTTGAACCGAAACACGTCTTGTTATTTTGATTACTTCTAAGTGGTTGTAACCACAGTAGGTATATTGAACCGAAACACGTCTTCTTATTTTGATTACTTCTAAGTGGTTGTAACCACAGTAGGTATTTTGAACCGAAACACGTCTTGTTATTTAGATTACTTCTAAGTGGTTGTAACCACAGTAGGTATTTTGAACCGAAACACGATAAATAAACCTAGTGGCCTACTCCAATATAAATAAACCTAGTGGCCTATTCCAATATAAATAAACCTACCTCCAATATAAATAAGCCTACTCCAATATAAATAAACCTAGTGGCATACTCCAATATAAATAAACCTAGTGGCCTACTCTTTCGGGAAACCATGCTTGCTTTCCTTTATTTCTTTTCTTTCACCATTCCAGTCATTAATTTATATGTGACATTCCATAGATTCAAATTATCTTTCAATTATACAATCCTCTTTCTTCTATACATGTCACCAATTCACTTTTCCCATCAACACCAATTCACAAAATTCCATAACAAATTTCCCATTTTTATCCAACCTTCATCTGCAATTTCTTTCCATGGATACCCCACAACTTCTTCCCCCTTACACATCATATTCTTGTCCAATCCTCCTATCTCCTTACTACTCCGGATTATCATTATTATACCCCTCAAAAATAAGTCCCTCTTTTTTGTATTTTACCCAAACTCCCATTGCCTGTTCCTCAATCTTCACTTTCTTTGTGTTTTTTCATTCCTGGTATATACATTTTTTCTTCGTTCCTCTACCTCTGCCCATGTAATTTTCCACTCGTATTTTATTTCAAATTTCTTTTTTTTTTGTACAATTCTTAGCAAATTTGTTCCATATCTTCATCAGGATGTTTACTTCAGGTTTTATAACATAATACCCTCCACCCTCACATTTCAACATCTTTCTCTTTTGTTTTTATTTTCCATTTTTTCTATCCTATTGCTCATTATTTTCAGCCCCCTTTTCTTATAATCTTTTCAAAATCAAGGCTTCAATAATCATCATATTTCGCACATTATTTTGGCTTCTTGAAACACGTTTCCCCTTATTCCTTTAATGTGTACCGAGTAATCCTCTTAAACAGATATTTCCATACTTTCATATTTAGTATTTGTTTCTTTAAGAATCCATTCTTCTTTCTGGATCACATTTTACTATTATAGGTCTCGGACATCTTTCTTACTTACATTCCTAGTTGGCGTACTCAAGCAATTCCAAATGGGATCAATCCACGTGCCTTCTCTATTCATCTTCCCTTCTATGTTTTTATTGGTTTCCTCTACCTTTATTTCTATGGAATATACATCTGTCTACACATTGTTTTTTTTTTTACAACAATCATCTTTTTTCTTGTAGTCCTACAAACTTAAGTCCTGAATTTCTGCTTCAAAGTACAAAATATCCAATCTTTTTTATTATTATTATTTCATCATGTTCATTACGTAGAAGTCTTGTAAAATTTCTTTATAATTAATTCCGTATTTCCTAATCCCGTTTGATCCCATTTCTCCTTTTTATTTTTAATGCCCGGAAAAGAAACATCTTAGTCATATTTCCAAATAATTTCCTCCTTGCTTTCTTTATTTTCAAAAACTGACAAGTTATTACTTCTTTTCCTATCCTCTGCCATTGTAACAACTCCATATGTTAAGCCTTTTCAACTTTCCGCAACCAAATGTATTTTCTTTCTTCAAAATCTTTATACCGGATCAACAATACAAAAGACTTCACTCTTTGTCACAACTTTAACAATAGCATTTTTTTATCATCACTCTCAACCACATCTAACACCCATCATCATCATACAATGCCTTAGTATTTATTAATATTTTATCTGTACTTATTTTTATTTTGAAATATTAAAGTACTGAACCGAAGACCATTTCTCTTAAATGGATGAATTCATATACACAAACAGCTGAATAGGTAAGTATTTCATGCAAGTTATTTTAGCATACGCTATAGTTTACTTATTGAATCCAGTTTTTACGACTACAAGGAACTGATACGTTTTTTACCTTCCTGTTTTTGTTGTATCGACCGACAGCCGGAGTGCCTCAGCCACACGCATTTCCAGACACTTGTGTCACGTGATATCTCTGGTGTCGTCATAAGCACGTGTTTGACGAGTACTGATGAAGGATACCGTAAAAAATCTCAAGTTTATAGTTCCAATACTATTTTGTTTTCAACTAGTAATAAAAGAATTTCGTCTTTTTCTACACGAAACCACATTATCGTTACTGTAAACGTATATTTATAAACAAAATTTGTTGTTTTTGTTAGAGCAAAGCCACATTGCACTATCTGCTGTGTCCATCGCGGAGAATCGAACCCCCAAATTTTAGCTTTTTAATACCGTAGACTTACCGCTGTCCCACCGAGGGACCATAAACAAATTATCGAAGTTCAGTACTTGCCATTTTTAATAGTTCTCTGTCTGTCTTACAAGAGGATAAGATAAATCAACATCCACAAACGTAAACAGAGGTTATGAAATTGTTTGAAGCAGAAAAACGTGGACAGTATCAAATAAAACTTGTTAAAAGATAAAGTTCGAATGTCAAAGTTACATGAATAAAACTGTATGTGATAAAATATTACATTTTGTTGTTGCTTTTATAAAGCAACGTACCCACTGTGTAATTCACATGTTAAACGAACTAGCAAGGAATGCATTAAGTATCGTAGTAATGGGACGGTCAAATTATTTGACAAAGTTTTTTTATGGACATATGATTGGACATTATCAATAAGAACTTCCGAGTGAAAGTGGGCTAGGCATGGCCAGGTGGTTTGGGCGCTAGACTCACAATCTGAGGGTCGCGGGTTCCCCGTCCCAACACACATGCTCGCCCTTTCAGCCGTTGGGGCGTTATAATGTGACGGTCATTCTCACTATTCATTGTTAAAAAAAAAGTAGCTAAGAGTTGGCTGGTGGTGATGACCAGCTGCTGCCTTCCCTCTAGTTTTTCAGTGCTAAATTGGGGACGGAGAGCGCAGATAGCCCTCGTGTAGCTTTGCACGAAATTCAAACAAAACAAACCAAAACCGAGAGAAAGTGTATATAATAATGTTAGCCAATACCATGGCTCTTCAGGCCATAGTCTTAGTTGCAAACGCTATGTATGTCAACATATTGCCTGAAAACAACTCTTGTGGTTTGAATTGAATTAAAAGACGGAAACGGAAGTTGTCCGAAAGCAATGAATCAACAGTTGCTACTACAGGCTGTTGTTATCCGTAAGGAAACTTTGTACGACGTCATAGATATGCAGCCTAAACCTTCTATCAAGTGCAAATATCTGCCTGCAAGAAATTAAACACGTACTCAAACACAAGTGTAAAAGAAGAAAATTATACTCAAACAATACGTGTACCCTCTGATTTACAGATTGCCATGTTGTCAAAAATTAACTGGCTGATGAGGCCGGAGGAAGAATATGTCTCCAACAAACAAAAGACTTTAGGACTGTGCCAGCCACACTGTTAGAGCCAAATCAAGATTCTATTCTGATATCCTAAATTGCTTACGTCAGTGAATATTACAATTTTACATACTCAAGAGGAGATTGACTCCCAGCTCATACTAGTTTGTACAAACCTCTGTATCATCCTTCAACTTGGGTATAACCCAGAAAACCAATGGAGCGAAAGCACAGAAGCACAGCCAAATAGTCGGGTTTCCAAAACCTAATTCGAACCTGTACCCAAAATTATGGTCCACGTAATGCTTTTTGGTGTTTTTTTTTATTTCTTTGAGGTGTATTGATAAAGGATCTGAATGATTCCATCTCGGCATCCTTGATGAAATTAAAATACTCAAAATGGCTGTCGCAACATTAAACTGAACATAGTTTGGCTCGTATATTAACTGGGATGATACTTTTCGGTCCATAATTAAGTTTTGGAATCAGAGAATCGATTAAATTTATGCCACTTATACTGTCATTTTCTTAAATGAGTCAGACTACAAAAACGGCTACAAAACAATGCATGAATGACCACAAATCACTTCTTTTGGCAAGCTACGATAATGGTTCTGGTGTCTGTTTTGTTTCAGTGTGTGTGTGAAGAAGATAGAGCTGCAACACAAGTAAAATGACTAGATGTTAGTATTCACTGGCACAAGCTTACAAAAAAGCTAGAGTGTAAATTTTCAAACCAATTTGGGGAGATGGTAGTTACCAAAAGCCCATAATTCTCTGAAATTGGTAACCAAATACAGTTTCTCCGGAATTTATAAGCAAACAGATGGAAGATTAATGAATAGACGACTGATGACAAATATAATTGATTGGCACCATTAAACAGCTCAAAATATCTGTAAAACAGGATACCATGGATAGACAAACTAATTCAAACATCATCCGATTCATTCGTTTCTTCGACGTCTAACCTGAAATCCTCATCACTAAAGTCTTTTGTCCATCTCTTGTAACAATTATTTGTTATGTTGCAGTAACAGAAGACTGTGTAAGTTAACTCAGCCATGTAGCACCCACATTTTACAATCAAACATGGTAGTTTAGTTGCAGACATCCATATTGAATCATTTGAAGGACAGTAGAGAACACTGGTGGCATATCTGATGGCATTTGCTGATGATAGAAATTAGGCCTTTGTATCCTTGACCCACCCAAAATCTGTGGGGTCAAGGTTGCAAGGGTGTGGATCCAATGCTGATTTGGAGATGTGCTTACATGACATTTTGTTAAAATGATTCCAGTGTTGGTGAAATGAATCTTAATTCCAGAGTTTCTGACATTTTGTTTGGCGTTTTTGGCGAACCATATCACAAACCAAATATCAGACATACTTTCCATGTCTTTGCTTCCATAACATGTCACAACAAATGCAGTTGTTTAATCAATAACTTTGTCAATATCCGACTCTAAGTATCCAAGTTTAACAAATCTGTGGCTCTTCAAGACCATTGTTGCTTTGCAAATATCCCACATTTATGTTACACCAGATATTTACAGGCCAAGGTTGTGTTACAAAAGTTGGTTACAAGCATCTTTGTTGTTGCTCCTATGTCAGCCATTGTGCAACGTAAAGTCAAACTAGTTCCCTCCATAAGAAGTGAGCATGCTAGTTTCTTGAGCAAACAGTAATGAAGGAGAAGGAAGATTACATCCCTGCCATCAGATATCATTATAAAGAATCTGGCACCCCATGTAACAAAAACTACCATTTGCTGAGGTACTGTAATATCTGCCTCTTCATGACTCGTCTTAAGTTCAGATCTGGCAATCAGTTGTCCCATACATAATCAAAGGGAGCTTAACTCACAGTTTGTACTAACTTGTACAAACTGCTCTATCACCCTCAACCTAGGTATGGCCCAGAAAACTAATGGAGTAATGGCACTGGAGCATAACAAAGCGAGTACAAGCTCCATGGAATAGCTAATGTGATAGGTAACCTTAGTGGAGGAGAAGATTAACAAGAGTTTATGATTACTTGCATCATTTCAATAAGGTCGTGTTAGGTGGTATCACTTATTTTACGTATCCCCCCTCTAACGTTTAATTGCCCAGTTGCGTTAGTTAGTTAACATTAATTTTTGCAATGAGACAAAATATGACACTGGATGACGCCAACGTATTTTTTTCACGATAACTTCAATTACTGAAGGTAAATCAGTTTGTCACAATATTTATACAAGTTGATCAGATGTTCTGTCAAGTAGCCAGTTAGGGCCGTAACTCCCACCGAGACATACAAGCAACTACCTTGTTTGAAATTTTGTCATGTACCTTTAGGTCTTTTATAGTCTTTTTTTTTCACCAGTAAAATAAATACATTTATTTGGAAAGTTTTTCCAAAACAACTAATATTAACTGTAAATAATCATATATTCATTCTGAATGTTAATCCAGTATCTAATTGCTGGATTCTAATATTCCTCATGACCGTCGAATATCACACTTACATACGACCTTTTCAGGATCAGACACGTTGTCGGTAGAACAAGTTTTAAAATAATTATCAGAAACACACAGCGTATTTAGAAGAATTAAGGTACGACCAGCCTGATAAGTCCTGGTATTGGACGAAAGACCTCGTTGGCACTGGATATGGCAGATGTAGTGTAGTTGACATAACATATTCTTCTTTACCTTCACTCATGGGTTCTTAGAATTAGAAAACAGTGATGTTTAACAGTGTATTCCACGTTAAATTCTCCATGGAGTGTTACAGAAAACAGTGATGTTTAACAGTGCATTCCACGTTAAATTCTCCATGGAGTGTTACAGAAAACAGGGATGCTTAACAGTGTATTCCACGTTAAATTCTCCATGGAGTGTTACAGAAAACAGTGATGCTTAACAGTTTATTCCACGTTAAGTTCTCCATGGAGTGTTACAGAAAACAGGGATGCTTAACAGTGTATTCCACGTTAAATTCTCCATGGAGTGTTACAGAAAACAGTGATGCTTAACAGTGTATTCCACGTTAAATTCTCCATGGAGTGTTACAGAAAACAGTGATGCTTAACAGTGTATTCCACGTTAAATTCTCCATGGAGTGTTACATAAAATAGTGATGTTTAACAGTGTATTCCACGTTAACTTCTCCATGGAGTGTTACAGAAAACAGTGATGTTTAACAATGTACAGTATTTCACGTTAACTTCGTGTTTCTTTACGATTTTCAAATTATTTTTATATATGCTTGGAAGTTTTCGTTTTCCTTCCATTTCAGAGGACGCTATCATGTAACGCTCGATCCTAATAACATTAAAAATTAAACCAGGGGCGCTGTCTAGAACACCTAAAGACGACTTGTAATTATTGTCCATCACCCTGGAGTCACACCATGGTCCGGCGCTAGACCCCCGGAGCATCAGAAAGCCCCCCCCCCCAGATTGCAAGTCGAGAGTCCTATTTTGGATTGTGGGTATATTGTTTTATGGTTTTAATAAATATTTGTTTTATTCATCTGAAAAACTAAAAATAATTAACATTTCAATTTTCTAACAGAAGCGTCCGAACTAAGCCCTATTTGTTATTCGATCTTTTCAACAAAATTTGTTCTTATTGAAACTGAAGATTGATTTCAATTGTTGTTTATATGTATGTATATAAACACACACACATATTCATA